GTTTTTATTTCGTTGTTTTGTTAGAAAAAAAAAAAGAACAATAATAATGTACTTCAGTTATATGCTTTATTTTTCGTTATTCTACATTATATTTCTAAGTTTCAATATAATTATTTACAAAAAATTTTGTTTGAGTTGTTTAATTTTTTTTCTTTTCACCTTAATTTTTCACAAATTTCACAAGAAGAAATAAAGTTGATGAACATTCGGAATCTATAACCGAAAACTTAAATACAAATTCATAATCTACACTAAAAGATTATACTTTATTCGTAGTCCACAAAGTTATTCTCAATTTGATTATCGACGCATTCTGATGATTTTCTTCATCCATCTATCGAAACCAACTTTATTTACTCAAATATTGATCATCGACACATCCTTAATCGGATTCCAAGTATTGAACTTTTCCTTTTTGACTCTCATGGACTTTGACGTCATATGAGGATTCCACCTTACATATATACATGTAAATTGAGGATAGTTTTATTTTTATTTGTCAACCAAACTATAAATTTAAAATATGCCCTCATAACTGATGATCCAATTAGACGGATAATTGTTTACATATGAAAAGTCAAAATCTCGTACACGTGCAGAACATGCCAAACAGTCCGCCTGTAAATTAAGAGATCGAAAAATCAAAGATAAAAAAAATGGGGAAACGAGCTTGTAACCGCCAAAAGGTGTCATATAGAGTCGAGAACGCAAACCACTCTTTTGGGAACCGGATGATAGCCACGAGGTCCGAACAATCTATCTCAAACTCCTGACACTCGATCCCTTTCTCCAGCAAACAAGACATCGTCCAAAGAAAAGTTTCCATTTTTTAATGCAACAAAGATCGCCGGTGACTCATCCCTCGAGCTCCTAAAGTATGGGTTGTTCCTCATGGAAAAAGCACCAACCCAATTCTAATGTTACATCTGTCTCTTTCCATGAACCATCCACTTGACATCTAATTGAGAATACTTATATACATATATATAAATTAAATTTTATCACTTTGTTGAAGAACTATATCCTCTTGTTGTTTAAATGAAAAATAGGCAACAACAATTAACATCGTAATGAAATGATTGAAATTATGCTTTAACAATACGATCGACAAATTTTTCAACCATTCTTTTGTAATAAATTAAGCATTGATAAAAAAAAAACAGAACATAATCCCCAGAACAATATTAACTAATTTATGAGGGATCCTCCTAAACGATGGTAGCATAAAATCTAAACATCATTCTTATCCTCCACAGCCTCCACCGCATCCTCCGCCGTGTCCACCGCATCCTCCACCATGATCACCGGAGGAGACACCCGTAGCCACTGGCAAAGTCACAAAGCCACCATCTTTTTTTTTTTTTTTGTCGTCAAAGAAACTATTAATAATGAAGTAGATGGATTACAAGAGTTTTACTCAAAGGAAATAACCAAAAATGAAACCAAGAAAGCATAACAAAAATCAAAACAGAGCATCACATCGTTAGGATCTCTTCTTCGTGTAGTGACTACTCTGTTATTCTCTACGTTATTGCTAGTAGTGACTACTCCCTTCTTCTTCTTTTTTTGACCAATGATATTAAAATTTATC